GGTCTTCATGCATTGAGGACATATTTATAGACAGCAGAATAATGTCACACAAATTGCTCTCACAAATAGTCCTTGCTACTTTGCAGTCTTGTGGGGATCACTTTTAGGCCAGATAGTGAAACGTCTAAGAGTTTCATTTTTTTTCCCTCCAATGTGATTTGTGCCATTTTTATGCACAAAAAACTGCATTCCTGAATTGAATGTGCCATTTAAACACAATAATGTACAAAATGTGTCTTGTTAAAACTTTGCTCCTATGAGACAAATACAAAATTCTTACAGGAATTAAGTTATGTTTGTGAGACATTAGGAAGCCTAACGCTCTCTTGTTATCTGCACTGGATTACATATTAGAGAGAACATACACATATCAAGAAGCACTTGCCTAGTGAGAAAGGTTGCCAGTTTTATCCATGTCTTCATGGGCATCTCCAAGTCCCCCAAATGCAAGGCTTCTGATTGGAGGATGAAGTATCTGAGATAGTCTAAGACAAAAAGATTTCTGTTCCCTCTGCTGCAATTAAAAACAGGAGACATATGCTGAGTACGTGATTTAGCCATATATGTGGTGCCGAAAAGCTGAAACAAAGAAAGAGCATGCATCTCACTAGGGCACCTCTCACAGACTGATAAGATCTATTTGCCACACCCTTGATGGATAAATGTGGCCCTCAGCAAGGGCTGGCTTAGGCTTGCAGTAACAACTTCAAAATCTCAGGGGCTTAGAACAGTGTTTTTTCCTGTTCATGCTACATGTCAAGCATGGATTGGCAGGGGACTGTGCTCATCACAGCTCAGACACTCTGCTGATGGAAGCTCCACCCAACACCTGCCTGCATGGTCTCTGCAGCTGAAGGTCTACAGCCCAGCTGAATGCTTTGTCTGAACAGGAACACACATCACTTTTTCACACAGTCCACCAGCCCAAACTTATCAAGTGGCTCCTCCCAGCAGGGCTCCCATGGTCCAGGAAGCTGTAAACATGAGGAATGCACGGATTCCTCCGTGCATGAGAAGCAGCATTACAGAAGTCACCGTCTAACTTTATATATATCTTCCAGCTTGACCACTCATGTTTTAATTGCCATTGGTGATCAACTTGATTAGATGGAGAGCTACCTGGAAAATTAGGGAAGCATGGCCCTGGGTGTGTCTTTGCGGGTTTCCAGAGACAATTGGCATGTGGACCAGCTAGGGTGAAAGACCTGCCCTAAATGTGAATCACACTGTCCTGTAAACTGGGGTCCCAGATGGAACAAAAATGGAAAAAGAAGGAAGCCACCCAAGGCATGCGTGCTCCGTTCTCTTTGAGCAAGTGCACCTTTAGCTGCTGCCGTCACCCAAGGACAGCAAGGTCCAGCCAGACTATTCAGACTTGCTTTCCGTATGGACTCACAGCAGCAGTTCTCCAAGAGACTTCCAGACCTTTGTCCTCAAACAGAGACTGCACCCTCGGTCCCTCTTATTCTGCAGCTTCCAGCTCATTTGACTGAGCAGCTACAGGATCCTCTGGCTCTCCAGTGTGCAGGCAATCGTGTGGTGATCATATAAGCCAACCTAATATATACATATATCTCCTATTGGTTCTTTTCCTCTAGAGAACACTGACCTCTATAATACTTTAGAGCAGTGGGGGTGAACCTACGGCACATGTGCCACAGTGGGGGTTTGTTATCACTGCAAGCTCTGAAAGGCTCACCATCACTGCTTTAGGGTAGGTGCCCAAGAAGCCAAGAGCCTGTACCATAGAAAACTATGACTTAACATTCTGGCTACACATTTGTAAAGCTGGCACCCAAATGCTCATGATTCTTATCAAGGCAAATTAAGTATTTTCCCTCTCTTGGAGAACAATAAAGAAAATGGCAGGGTATTATTTCAATACTGTTTGAGGCTTTGGGTGGGAATGGAAATCCCCTTTCCAAAATACACATGGAGAAAATCTGAAGACATTATCTCATGCTTTCATAGCCTTAGATTAGAGAAGTGTGACTTTCACATGAAACCTAGACATCACAGAGCAAAACTTTAAAACTTATAAAACAAAAAAAGGTTTAACTAAGATTAAAATAAAAAAATACTTTGGAAGAAAGTATTTACAACATACATAACAAAAATATAGTACCTGTAGTATATAAAGAGTTCCTGCATAGTAATATAAACAGATAAAAGTGACCAAAGAACATACAAGTATCATTATTTGAATAATTAACCAATATACTGAGCATTTTGCTCAGTAAAAAAAATTAGAAAAAAATAATATATTAAAATTGCTAATATCAAGTGGCAGCCTGAAGATGGAGAATAAGTTGATATATAAACTAGGACAATGCTTTAGGAGAGTAATTTGCTAGTATTAGTCAAATATGAAATTTGCACAGCTAATAAGTGAGGAACAGCCTCACTTCTTGCCTTTTCAGAAAGACTTATATAAATATATTCAGGGGTACAAGCGTGATAGCACTAGAGTACTGCTTGTTATATCAAACACTGGAGAAAACACAATGATCATCTATAGGAAGACGGCTACATCCATATAAAGAAGATGATGCTATGCTAGAAAGAATCCGACAAGAGCCATAAGCATGTGGCAGAAGGCTTACAGCACATCGGTAAGTGAAAAGGAAGTTACAGAATAAAATACATAGTATAGGCAGGCTGTGTGATGGGGGCAACAAGCTCTCTAATTTCCGCAAGGTAAGTACTCTTACCATGGTTGCATATAAGCTACCACCCTTTGATAACCAGCTTGAGAAATTCCACACAGACTAGGAATTCTGTATAGGACTATTTTCACTGTTGAAAGAATAGGCACATAAGTACATGTGTGTACATGTTTGTGTGAGAGTGTGAAAGCATAGAAAAAAATGTCAAAAAGTATAAACAGAACTGGCACAGGAACATAGGGAGCAAGAGACACAGTATGACCTCATACTTTGCACACTTGGCTATGGTTTGAATTTTATTAAATGGCATTGTTCCACTGACTATCATTGCTTTAATAATTTTCTTATATTACAATTTAAGTACTTATTGTTATAAAACTAATACATGATTATCATAGAAAATTAATAAAATACAAAAGAATATAAAGGAAAAAATAAAACTACCCATAGTTCTACTTTCAGAAAGATCATTATTACTATTTTGGTATATGTGTTTTTCTTAGGAAAACATAATAGGAGTTTTTCAAAATCAAGTTTATATCTTACAAGTAATTTTTAGCTCTACATAAATCTTGACTCCATTTTTTATATTTCCTTAGAAAATGTTTATTATCTTAGAAGTGGTTTCATTATTAATTAAAGGCAGGATTACAAAATAGGTCTTAGAGGTAAGATAACTAGATTTTACTAAATGCAATTTGAGCCAATACCATACCACTAAATTTTATGTCTTAACTCAGTGGGCAGAGCAACTGCCTGGCAAGCACAAGGTTCTGAGTTCGATTCCTGGTACCAAAAAAATAAATAAATAACTTTTATACCTTAGATTTACTAAAGACAAATGTTTTTATAGCAATACAGATAAATATTAAGACATTCATTGGAAATTGTATTACTTATGTATTATTTTACATACCATAAAATGATTATGCATATAAAGTTTTAAACAGAAACAAAAGGCAATGAAAATTGACTGATTTAATTCCAGACAAAGGAATTTGAGGTAAGAAACTTTCATAGATATGTCAGGAAGAAAAAAGACATTTTACAGAGAAAGCAGACCCATTAATAAATGGAAAAGATGATGAAATTGGTGGTGATTGACATGGCAGAAATACCAATGGCTTTTATTTATATATAAGTACCAAACTTTAACAAGGAAAACAAAACAAACTGGTGGAGACACTTAGGAAGTAATGAAAATCTTGTCAATACAGCTGCTGATAAAAAGCAGAGGAGGAAATTCACAACAACACCCTTTAGCTCAGGATTCCAGACACCTGCAGTACCCAGGGATTTGAAGTCATCCCATCAAGCTCTGTACCTAATGGGGTATCTCACCACATGGCGCTCAATCTAATTTTCAAGTGCATTCTCTATCTAACCCTCACCAATTGCTCAAAAACTGGAAATGCAAATTTTTAGAGATGTCTTTCATAGGGTATTACATTCAGAGGTAGCTCAGGAGAGCATCTGGGCTATTATTTGTGCCTCGGGATATTTGTTTTACTTGGAACCATCAACTCACATGCCGATGATAGGCCTCACCCAACGTATACCCACTTCCAAGCTATTTAAGTGATTGATAGAGCTCCGATGTCCATTGAACTAATTAGGATTACTCAGGATCACTACTGTCCCTTTTTCTTTTTGCAATTATACAGAATGTCCATAGTGAGTGAATAAAGAAAATATACATTTTTTCTTTTTTTTTTTACCTTAAGCAAATGCAATTACTTGATGTATCCATAAAAGGACTCATCTATCCTTTATAAAATTAAAGATGTAGACATCAGAGGGCACAGATGACTAAAAAAAATGTCAGATTTCAATGGAAATTAAATAGTGAAGCTTCTCAACTATTGATTCTTTTTCTTTCAATAAATTGTGGAGCACAAAAGTAAATGTCCAAGAATCAAGGAAATTAAATGTGATGTCAGTGTTCTGGAGCCTCTTGTATCTGCCATTCCCAGATAGAACTTCTGACTGTGGTAAAAGAGTAAGAGAAACATTGAGAAAAATCAGTTAGAGAGTAATGGAATCGTGGAGCCAATAAACTGCAAATCAGTATAGAAAGAGACACCCTAGAGGCCTTAACCTTAACTTGAGTCAATATTGTGATACAATTGTCCAACAAAACTTATGTGAATTCAAACTGGCTTGAATCCATGCCCCCAACCTATGAATTTATATATTACTTCTTTGCAAGCAACTAAAAGCAGTTTACAAGCAGTTTTGTCTCCCATTCTTATTAAGTGCACACAGTTCCCCCTTCTTGTATCTTATGATGTCATAATAGTTTCCATCAACAGAAGGAGAGACAGATGAGAGGAGTCTGCCTCATTTGCCCAAGACAAACCACAACAACATAATGAAGGCCAGCCTAACTAGTCTCATTTTCAATGGGGTGCTCGCTACACTACTCAAGATTAAAATAGAGAGCCAAAAGAAGGAATTATGAAATCAGGACAAACTAAAGTGAATGTAGACAATAAGGTGAGGATTTTAGGAGTTTGGTGGCATTGTCAAAGTAGTTTTAAAGGGACCAACAAGAAACAATGAACACTGTGCTTAATTCCAAGGTCCCCATAAAGTTCAGTCAACTGAGCAATGGGAAATCGTTTCTCTAAAATTCAATTTGTCCTAAGGCTTAATTTTTACAGTTGTGAGTGTTGTGTATGGGAGGTTTCTTTAAAACTGGCTTAAACCCTGTATGGATTCACACATATTTACTCTGGACAAGAGAAAGCTGCCATTTTCCATGAAATATAGAGACTTTGAAATGCACATAAGTGCATCCAAATTTCTTAGAAATAGCTTAATATTCTCCTGAAATAAACACACATTTTAATGTTCAGAGAGAGCTAGGTAATCTCAGCTATGAACAAGTACAATATGAAGTCAGCCGGCTGTGTTCATTGTTTTCACATCTGTGCATTCAGCTAATTTTGGACAAAAGAATATTCAGGAGAAAATTGCATCTGTATTGAGCATATATAGACTCTTTTCTTTTCGTTCTACCGTAAACAATACAGTGTGATGACTACATGTAGAATGGTCATTGGATTAGGATTGGATTATTATAAATCACCTAAAGATAATTTCAAGTATAGGAGAAGATATAAGGTTAAATGCAAAGACTGTACCATTTTATAAAGAGACTGAAATATTCTCAAACTTAAGTGTCTTCAGGAGACTCTAAAACCAATTCCTTGCAGATACCAAGTGACAGATATACACGAAGGAGGAAGGCAAGTCAGAAAAAGTGTGAACTCCACCAACCTCTTGGTGAGAGAGGGCACAGCCTCCAACCAGCTCTCACAAGTGGCTAGAAGATTCCTATGCCACAAGAGAGGGACCTCAGAGTTGGAAAGCCACTTGCTTGCTTAAATTTTGTATGTTCAGTTAGCTGCAGCTTCTACAGACAACTACTGGTCCCTTCTGTAGATTACTAGGGAGAGTAAAAAGATTCCTAAAATCTTTTTAGGAAGGAAGTTTCCACTTTTCAAAACTATCAAAGGAAATCTACTATGTATTTTAGCTATAGGAGATTTATGGGAAACAGCTTATCCCTCATTCCTCTTTTCCCAAGCTAATTTAGGGTGATTAAATGGTGGAACAACTTACTTTTCGTCTCTCAGAAAATTAGAAAGACACCATAACTTCAGTGGATGGTGCTTCTAAACAACTGCGTGCTGTTCAAAGGACCTCTTCAGAGAGCAGTCAGCCAAAAACTTCTCCCAGAACTAAACCAATTTTAAAAAATCAACAAACACAGAAGGAGATCTCCACTTAAAACCCAAAATGTATAACTGCAGAATGAGAGCCTGCATCTTTTCAGCTGTCTGATCCATTGCTGGAGACAAACATAACTGGGAAGTGGGATCCTCCTGCAAATAGCTGCAACAAATATCTTTTGTTAAAAAAAAAAAAATTAAGACAAAAAAGAAGGCATCCTTCATCAACTCTGAAATCAAAGAAAGGCCAGCGAGAGGATAAGATGTTGAAAAAGTAGTGCGTTGAACAGTTCATCTGGATGAAAATATGAGCCTGGTGATGTCAAGGTCCCTGAGACCCTGGTGCCCTTGAGTGAATGCTGGTTGCATAAGTTAGGGCAGTGAAGGGGACACTTTAATTTATGTGCTCAATTTTTCCAAGATCTCAAAAAGGGAAAAAAATGAAGGTGGGGGAAAGGGATGAATGAGGTTAATTTCCAGGGTGGCACATTCAGGGATGCTTTGGAGATTAAGGGCTGTTCCATTACCTCAGTATCCTCATCTGAGGGAAAAGTGATTTTGTAACAAGCAGCAGCCTCCCAGCTGGCTTAATTCACCCTCCCAGAAGGTCTCAGGGTCTTTAAACAGTGACTGGGACTCTAAATTAATCTTTCAAATAGGATTGTATAAGAGAAATTTCAAAATCATAATCAGTGAGGAGTACTATTGTGCTGCAGACCTAGAAGTTAAAACGTTAGGCCACAATGAATTAAGTACATAAATTATAATAATCTCTAAAATACGAGAGGCTCAAATTTCATATAAAATATTACAAAATGGGAAAAATGATATGTATTTTAAACATATTTGCAAAGTACATATTTTTGCATTTACCTAGCATTCCTTTTTGGAATACAAAACATAACTTTAAAAATAATCTGTATTGGCAAAAGCTGAAGCATTCTATGCTGTTCATAAATAAACTTAATCTGCAAGGTAAGAACCCAACTATAAATTTGAAATTTTCCCTTCTTTTCCTTTATAAATGATGCATTTAAAAGAATCATTGGGGGGCTGGGGATTTAGCTCAGCGGCAAAAGCACCTGCCTGGCAAGTGCAAGGTCGTGAGTTCGGTTCCCGGTACCGGAGAAAAACCAAAAAAAAAAAAAAAAGAATCATTGGTAAAGGCAAGAAATTATCCTGCGCCCCAAAGTCAAATTTTTTTCTTGTTATTATGTAGGAGAAATGTAGATGGCATATTCCATGACAATTAATTATAACTGAGTCATTTTCACAGATGTTTACATAAAATTTCAGATTCCTGAGATTTAAGGTTCTACCCAACAGGAACATACTTTAAAAGGGTATTTTTAGTAGTAGCTTGTTTGTGAGTCATTTGAGGATTGATATAGTTAAATGAACAAACTCAAAAGAGCTTGGGTAGAAATAGTGCTAATCATCCCTGCTGCACAAAAGCCTAAATACGACAAAAAGAGGATTCCTAAAGGGTAAGGACAATAATGGAAACCCAAGTGCTGCAGCTAAGCCTCACACACAGAGATCCTGTTTGGCATAGAGACGGCCTGTCCAAGTCCCAATGGCTCTGCCAGCAACATTCTTGAGGAGTCTTCTATCCTATGAGTTTCTTTGTCTTGGAGGAGGAGGCGTTTTGCCAGTTCAGCAAAGTTGGGTCTTTTGAAACCTGTACTTGCAACTCATACTATTACAAATATACTGAATTAGTTTTTTATTACTAAACAGGGAAGGAAAAAAAGGAGAAAGGAGTGAAAGAAGGAAGGAAGGAAGGGGAGGAAGGAAGGAGATGATGAGGGAAGGCAAAGGAAAGGGAGAGAAAAAAAA